TTTCACGAATTTTGAACATTTAGCTACTACGCGGGTGATTGAGTTTTGGCAGTTTCCTGTTCTTCATGTCTATGTTATAGATCGCTTTGCTCGTGATTATGCGGGTGTGGCTTAGGCCTCAGACAGAGTTCACGCGATTTCATCGCCTTGCGAATCTCCAATAAGACAACAGTCACGAGTTCATTGCATGCCATTCTTCTTGCATTTCGATTGTGATAGTTTCCCGACGCGACCAATCGTAACTAACTATCACGACCGAAATGCGGGAGGATCGGCATGCAATATAACAGTTGTCTTTTTGGAGAATCGCGAGGCGATAAAATCGCGTGAACTCTGTCCGAGACATTACCGCCGAAGTCTGCTATCACCAAGTGTTTTCAGGAGTTTACACAGCTTGTTTATCTGCTTCAATGGCTTTGAATAAAGGTTCAGAAAGGATTATCTCTTATGCAGTACTAGCTATGGGAGCTGGACAAATTTCAGGTAACATTGTTTGCTTCAGTTTTATTTGAAGTTTCTCAGCATTATTTTGGAATATGCTTCAGGCGGGCTTTCCTTTGGTGTATTTCCCAGAAGTAGTTCACTCAATCGATCTCAAATTGTCATTCTTGGCATGATCCTGCATATCCTCGCCTTCTTCCTCAGTTTTCTTAATTTGCCTATGGAAGCTCCGCTACATAAGACTTCTTCTGTTGGGTACATCGACCCAAGGTTTGTTACATTTGTTCTGTTTGCGTTTTTGTTGCAATGGTATTTTGCTTTCTTTTGGTTACTTCCATAGTCGAGCAACGCTATATTAACGCTATCAAATCTGGGTTTGACTCTTTAACGACTTGATACCCTGTTTGCAGCATTTTCATTGCTATCGTGACCGCATATTTCCTCGGACTGGGTGATTCATGCTGGAATACTCAGATATACACTCTTATTGGGGCCATGTACAAGGACGAATCGTCTTGCGCTTTTGCTCTGTTCAAATTCTTCCAGGTATTTTACCTCTAGACTTTTTGGATTTTGAAGATCCTGCTAAGTTTTCTATTTAATGGAATTTTTATAGTCTCTTGCTGCTTGTGCATCATTCTACTACAGTTCCGTACTTCTTCTGCATTGGCAGTTGTTGGCGCTCTGTATTGGCTCCGCCATGGCGGCAGTTTGCTTCTTTTCAGTCGCAAATAAGGTGGAAACTCCCGAGATCATTGAATGATCTTCACTGTACAGAGGCAGAATAATCAAGCAGGTCTTGTGAATTCAAAGGTTGTAAATTGCTGTGATCTATGAAAGTAGCTTTCTTTCAAAGGTGTTAATAATGATACATGGCATATTAAATGTTATTGGCGCATGCGCTTGTTAAGCCTTAGACTGTATTGTGTTATAAGTGAAAACGGCGTTCTTCTTTCGCTCATGGGTTTTCGCTAAATATAATAGCTTCTGTAAAATTTATTGTTGTTGTTGTTTCTGCTACACCGGTGTTGTATCCCAGAGATAAAATAAATGTTGTACAACGCTTTGATGATGACAATCACTTCCATTTTATGCTATATCATTTTGCGTAAATGTCTAAATCTTTATAATATTTATAAGCGACTAGAAATCCAAGTGGTGATTGTACACTGATTTTCTTTTACCCATAGGATGGTGAACGATTTCGATCTGAAATATCATGAATGGCATCTGCATAAGTACAACTCACTCACTTTGACCCGGGAAGGAGATATCCCATTCTCATAAGATTTGCTTGGTTTTTCTTCCACATCCGAGATGGCAAAATCCTGCGTTGCATCTTCAACCGAGAGTGATTTCCTGGATGTTTTCAAAATACTAGTACTTTTACCGGAGTATTCATGTTATTCTACCCACCGAGTTGTGATTACGATTTCTTCTTGTGATCCATCAGAACTCGTATCAGTTATTCCAAGCAGATTTTCGAGGTAATAGGATTTATGCCTCTTAGTAAGAAATTTTTGTGGACATTAAAAAAGCCAATTTGACCAATCGTACAGCAAAGTAAATTACCTGGTCGTTGAAAACACCCCAAACGCTTTTGAACAGGTAGATAAATATTTCCAGTAAAGTAACACAACTCATACCCAAGAATAAACCCATACTTCCCGCGACGTAACCTGAATGCTGCATGGAATCACTGGAAGGTTTCTGTTTGCAATTTTTTCGAAGGATTGTAACATACTGAGGAGATCCACTGGTTTGATTCGCTTCAGCTGTTCTTCAACATTTACATGACGTGACTGCATATGAACTTCAATGGTTGAGAGGTTTCTGTATAGAGTCATTACCAAGTAAGGTAGCTAAAGATACCGCATGACAAAGGCGCAGGAGCAGTATTAGTTGAGCGGGCGCGAACGCGGCGCGCACGTGTCTTCACCGTTGTAAATCCTGCTCCTCGTGCGCTCTGCGGCTAAAAAAGCCGCGCCCGCGCCCAAAGATATTGCCTTCGTCATGCAGCAGCCTATACAGTCGAGTAAATTGGTAGATATAGTGCCCTTGCGGTACCGAGATTTGACTGCAAAATCCGTGCATGAAAAAGGCCACGCATGGAATGTCGGCAACTTGCACGCGCGAAATGCCGGCATTTCGAGCGCAACCTATTTTTTTACGCGCAAATTTCACTTAAAGTCGCGGAAAGTCCAGTGCACTATAATTTAAAAATTCTGTCAGAGTAAAAAATATGTATTTTACCTCTGGTTTTTCTTGACGTAAGATAATGCTACATATTCATAGTTCATTCTTTCGCATTCCAAAGGGCAGTGACATCGCATAGTATTCTTTTCTAAACTTCTTTCTCATCGTATAGTTGGTCATTCAGGAAACTAACCTTTCCTTCGACATAAAGCTGTTTCCATCAAAGTACACGGTCTTTTTGTCTTATAATGTGCAAAAAATGGAGAACATTTGCACCTGCAACAGTCGAGAGCTACCTCCAACCAGAAAATTCTGAAAGTGTTCTAAAATCTGACAAATAGGGCCCCTTTCACTAAGTCCGAGTTGAGGTCGCTCCAAACAAATGTCGTTTTTTCCATCATGACTTTGTAAATCTTGGCACATAAATCCAAGTTGCCTTATCTATATACTGGACTCAAATATTTCCAGTCCGGTTTATCTGCAGGGAGGCCCTCTTTGTCAGATTTTGGGGTAATTTGATTTTGGAGAACGTCATAATATGAAACAAAAATTAACTATTACTGTTGCTCGTAGTACTCAACGGCGCAGTCTATCTCGCAGCCATCTCGGTTGTAGCTATCAATGTTCCTCATACAATTCCCCCAATCTCCAATTTGTAGACGAATTTTCTATAAAGAATGTGCCTCAAAGAATGTAAATAAACTATTCAAAATTAACCTGAAACCTTTTTAGGTTGCACGACCAGCTTAGCTATTTGCCCTCGACGTAAGTGGAGTCCACCAGCTTCGGCAGGTCTTGAATCCGAGTGCACATAGACCATGACTGATTCTGAAGTAGTTCTATAAAAATACTCCAAGTTTTTTTTTTCAATAGAGCCTTACCATCGGGTTCACTAACCACATCTATGCGAATTGATAGCAGAGTGGAAGAGATTGGCGTCCATTTATATGTGCTACAGTATCCATTTTGGGTTACTGTACGCTGGATTTCTTCACAATGCCTTGCTGAGCAATTGACCTTGCTTTTAGACCTGCGATCCATTCCGCTTGATGTTTCAAAACAGTGCTCTTCAAATCATGCCCGACCTGTTCTGCAGCAGAAAATTTTCTAGGTTGAACCTCTTTTTTGTTGTTTCGAAGAAGATTTTTTCGAGAAGAGCCAGATTTTCGATATCTTCATCTTTTATCATATCACCCGCTAGCACAGCATTAAAAGAATTCAGCAAATGTTTCCGCTTCCGTATCTCTTAAAAGTTCTCAGTATTTTTTGAATTTAATAAAAATAACATAAGAATAAAACAAAACGATGATAAAATAAAATGTCATTGACCTGGATAATTCAACCAGTGCTGTGCGCCGCCCATTCTGCATACTGTTATTTTGGGCTGGGATTTATCACTAAGCAGTATATCTGTTGTTTTGATAAATGTTGGGTGTGAGTGATAGAAAAGAAGCATCAGAGTACTCTGAAAAAAA